TGAGGAACTTCCTCACAGTCTGGTGAGGAAGTTACACTTTAGAGAGTTAAACAAGAATGAAAGAAAAGCTGAGACAGCTGAAGTAGAGGATAATTTCTAAAACGTGTGTTCTGTGATTTATGATATTTAGCAGGAAAATACTTTTACTTAAATACAGATTCAAACTCCTGAAGCATAAAGTGATGAAGGGAGTAAGACGAGACCTTAATAGAGAAAGAACAGAATCAGATCTTATCCCAGTGCAGACAGCAAAGAGCTGCAGACAGACTGTGTTCAGGGCGATGATGAAAAAGTGAATCTTTGATCTGATTTAAGTTATGTATGTGTTTATATTTTTGTTCTATTTAAAAAGTTTAATAATCACAATGATTGTTTGTTGACTTGTTGATGGTCAGACAAAAAAGCTCACTTTATTTCAGTTTTTTTTTATACCATATATCATATCATATCATAATTATTATTAAGCATTGTTATAATTAAACAGGTCACCACCTTCTAGCTATCAAATATCTCAATGAATGCCTCCAATGCTTGAGCCCCAAATTATAATCTGTTTTATTCTCACTTTTCTCTTCCATCAGGTGACTGCAGGTTTTTACCAACATGGAAAGGTATCACACTCAAAACCTCACATTATCTTCACTGCTAAAAGAACAAAAACAGAAATGATTTCAGGCTACATGCAGTAACTCTCTACAACAAATCTGTTTACCACCATCATCTGGTCTCTTTGTTAATTCAGTTTAACCCTGCAAAGTTTGTCCAGCATATGTTCCACCTGGAAAGTAAAAAAGGTGGATATATTACCCTGCCCAATTCCTTTCCTCACTCCTCAGACCAGACCCTCCTGAACATCAACCTGGACTCAGCTCTGTAACAATGAGGAAGAGAACCAATCCACAGGAAGACTGCTCTGACTTTAAAAGCAGGAAACTGTCTCCTGATGTGAAGTAAGAGTGATAAACATGTCTAAAACTCTATTAGTAATCAGTGAGAAGGTTTGGTTTGCCACATGTGAAGTAATTTATCATTGTCATTATTATTATTATTTATTTATTTATTTTTTGCTGTGTTCATGCTGTGGATTTAAACACACGTTGTTGAGAACTCAAAACAGGTTTTGGCACAAAATGGAGAATCCGCTGTGTGATCATGTAGTTCAAGTAAAAAAAAAAAAAAAGGGATGTTCACTTTTCATGACTTATTTACATAATGAACTATTCTGACTCTTAAACTGTAGTTTATTTATTTTTTGAACATTTTTTACTTTATTTGGCCAAGTTTATACACACACACACACACACACACACACACACACACACACACAATAAGTACACAATAAGTAAGAAAAAATAAGTTGCATAAAATCTATACAAACTAATTAGATTAATGTGCACATGAAATGATTGATATATCAGTCTGTTTTTTCACAGTGTTGAGTAACAGCCTGAGGGAAGAAACTGTGATTATACAAAGAAGAAAAGACAGCTGGATAAACACACAGACTAAAGTGAACAAAATCATTCATTGTGAAGAGCATCAACGATTTTAGCCTTACTGTAATATTATTACTGTGACTAGCTCTAAGTTCATCCAGTTCTTCTCGTTTTCTGAAGTCTAAAAATGTAATTCCTCTGCCTGATGGTCTTTTTCTCTGCTCACCAGGATCACCGAGGCACCAGATGCCCCTAAATCTGAACCTGGACCCAGCTGTGTGTCTTTGAAGAGTGATCAGTCAAAGCGTTTCATCTTTGAATTTAAAGGAACAAAATCTTCTTCTGCTGAGAAGTAAGTTACCTTATAGCTGTGTACTACATTGGGCCTGGCATCATAAAAGCCCTGCATTCCCTGCACTGGCCATCATGCTGATTATAATAATTAGAAGGAATGTGTCAGCAGATAGTCAGTTTCACTGTTTGATACTGTGGGTGCCAGTTTTGCTAGAAATGTGAAGTGATCCACAGCTGTCTGTGTGGTGGCGGAAACCATGGGCTGCTGGAATTCTCTAAATATTAAGTTAAAGAGCTTCAATTCTTCCTTTATATTCCCAGTGGAATAACCAGTGTTTCTTTTTTTATTTGATCTGCATGAAATAACATGACAAAATCCATCAGGATGTTGCAAGATGATCTTTTGTAGTTCATCATCTTCAACTGAAGACCACAGATGTAGCCTAGTGTAAGCGGATTCAAAGTGTCATCATATGATTTTTTTTAAGTGTATTTTCAATTCCTCAGAAAAAAAAATCATCTGCTGCTCTAAGATGCTCTTCTTTGCTGCAGGTATTTTAAAGACGAAAAAGCCACATTTTCAAAAAAACACTTCAACACAACAAAATAAATCTGTTTTTTTTCTTCTTTTTTAATTTTTTTTTTAAAATCTTTATGATGATGAAATGTACAGGGTATATCCATAATATGGTCATTACAAGAACACACTCAAGTACAGAACCATCACTGACCTGCTGATTTTGGACTAGTGGAGTCCAATAATTGAATAAATAAATAAGTCTACAAATTAACATAATAGGTTTGTGACAGCACAGTAGCACTTTTATAATCAGGATGATCACCAAACAGCAGAAGAATAAATATTTAGCTTGTATTTATGTTCATAATAGTTCTGATTTCATCATGGTGTCCACAGAGCCGATCAGGAGAGTCTTCATCATGCCCAGCAGCATCAAACTGATCTGGACTCAGTATTTAAGGTTTGTACATGTACACCAACCTCTGTTTGTAATTATTTTAATTTTGCACAGTTCAATATTCATCATAAAATAATGCCAAATTTCCACAAATAATTCAAAAGTGAAATATTTTCACTTGATTTTTTATTTATAAAGCATTTTTTAAAACTAAGTTTCAAACTGCTGATAAAGAAGAGAAGCAATAATGGCAATTTAAAAAAATTATGTGCAGAAGGATGAGGAAATGATTAAACTACTTTGATTCACAGTATCAAAAACTGAGCTAATGACCAGCAGATCATTGGGACCTTGATGAAAGGAGTCTCGGGATTACGATGTGAACGAAACACAGATTGAGATTTTCCAAAGATCTGAGTTTTTGTTTATATCATCAATGAATTCAGTGGCAAAAGATTGTTCACTCTAAAATGGTGAAAAAAAGCATCATGTGATGATAACATTACTTAAAATTGATGGATCATAGCAGGCTTTTTTGTATACATCATAAATACATGTATTTATTTATCACATTTTTTCAGTTCAATGTTAATAATTACTGTTCTTATATCAATAAGAACCAAAATGACAATCCACAAAAAAAATATTCAGAAATGTTATACAACAATAACATTTTTGAATTATATATATATTTTTCTCTGACAGGAGTTTTATTTTAATGTGTTACTTGCATATATTTTAACACTTTATTTTTGTTTTTCAAACACACACAAAACAAATCTGTGAAAAATTATTTTTACAATGAAGATCTGATTTTAGACTTAGATTGTGTAATTTTTTCCAGATGCTGGAGGAAAACATTATCACTTTTGTGAAGAACGAACTAAAGAAGATGCAGAATGATCTGAATCCAGATTATTCAGAGTGTCAGAGGGATGAAGAGGAGCTGTTGGACAGTGAGGAAGAGAAGCAGAGAAGGAGCAGCAGAGAGGCATTTCTGAAACTTGCAGTTAACCTCCTGAGAATAATGAAACAGGAGGAGCTGGCTGACTGTCTGCAGAGCAGTGAGAGGATTTATCTTCATAAATTCAGTCTTTACAGGAATGAAATTGTCACATTTTCTATAATCATAACACTCATGTTTCTGGTGCTTTCCTGTAGAAAATCCTGATCCACTTTGTGAGTATACATTTAAATGTAACCTGAAGAAGAAATTCCAGTGTGTCTTTGAGGGGATTGCTAAACCAGGAACCCAAACCACTCTAAATGAGATCTACACAGAGCTCTACATCACAGAGGGAGGGACCGGAGAGGTCAACACTGAACATGAGGTCAGACAGATTGAAATGTTTTCCTGGAAACCAAACAGACCAGAAACAACAATCAGGTGTGAAGAGATATTTAAAGCTTCGACTGGAAGAGACAAACCAATCAGAACAGTTCTGACCAAAGGAGTGGCTGGCATCGGGAAAACATTCCTGACACAAAAGTTCACTTTGGACTGGGCTGAAGACAAGACCAACCAGGACATCCAGTTCATTTTTCCATTCCCATTCAGAGAGCTGAATTTACTG